AATAAACATCTGTTCACTGAGTAAATATAATATTTCATGATTTTCCCATACTAGGTTTCTGGAAACAAAATGAGATAATGGTAAAAATTACCAGCACTTTTCACATGCGATCTCAAAAATGCAAGGTGAGAGGCTGGCAAGTGGTGTGGTGGTTAAGGCACTGGACTCCTACATGACTGACTGTGGTTTGAATCCTGGACTTGGAGGCTTTCTCTCTCTCTCTCTCTAGTCAAATTTAAAAATAACAACAATAAATGAAATTAAATAATTGTTTTTTAAAAATGTAAATTAAATATAAAAGTCTTTGAAGAGTTGAAGCAGTTCTTTTAAGTATGCAAGAATTCTTCATAGTAGCTAGGGAAATCCTTCCCCACATCAAATCTCTAGTTAAAAACCAGTATCAATATTTATACCAATATCTGTCAGTCTATCTTTCTCAGATCCCAGAATTCATGCAAGATGCTGGTTATGTATTAAGAGTAGTCTGTAAGATCAATTGGTTTCTATCTTAGAGCAGCATACAACCTCTCAGAAAATATTAATATTTCTTTCATGGGACCAGCAGTTGGCATAATGGCTATGTTGCTGAACTCCCATGTAGTTGACCGCAATTCGAGTCCTGGACCCAGTGACTTAAACTCACACTGGGTGCATGTGCGTGCGTGCCCAAGATCCCAAGAGGAGAATGGAGAAGGGATTGTAGCGTGGCTATTCTCTCTGCAGGGTGATTTCTCACTTTCTGTCTCTGTTTCTTTCTGGTATGTGCACGCACCCTATAGCAAAAAACTCTCAAAAAAAAAATTTCTTTCATACACAAAACATTTTAAACAAAATAAATTTTAAAAGGTAGCACAGCATGTGGAATTATATGCCTGGTAAACTCTTTTCATGTTAATAAGCCTTTCAGTGTTTCAAAAAGGGGTAAAAATTGTAATACAGTAAGCTCTTCCCAAAGCTACAGCTCTCTTTTACAGAAACTGGAGCCCAAGTCCAGAATTACTGTGGACCCTGCTGTGTCTGTGGATCAAACCAACCTTACTAGAGTAACAAATGACGGGGCCAAGGATGGTCACCAAGCCAATGGCAATCACGTAAAGGTGGAACACAGACAGTGGGGAGATCACCTGTTTTGGAACTGGTTAGTACAAATTAGGCCCAAGAAGAGCACTTCAAAATGGATGGTGATAGGATCACTGTGGTTTGAGTCCCGGACCCGGTGGCTTAAACTAAAGCCGGGCGCGTGTGCGTTCATGCCCAAGATCCCTAGAGGAGAATGGAAGAGAAGGAATTGCGGCGTGGCCATCCCCCCTGGGGCGGTGATTTCTCGCTTTCTGTCTCTCTGGTGAGCGCACACACCTTGTAGCAAAAACCTCTCCAAAAAAAAAAAAAGGATGATCATAACCTGATCGTCCTGGCTTCTTTTTTAGGAAACTTGAATTATAAGTGATCAAGGACAAGGCCCTACCCTGAATGATCATTAGTTATAGTTCTGGTTGCTGATGACACCTGCTCTCCATTCTAGACCATACCACATTTCCTTGGGACCATACCACATTTCCTTGGAACTGTGACCAAATCCTTGTTATGAAAATCCGGGGACCAGCAGTTACATTACTGGACTCCCACATGGCCAACTGCGATTTGAGCCCCAGATCTGGTGGCCTGAAACTCATGCTGGGTGCATATGTGCAGGCCCAAGATCCAGGGAGGAGAATGGAGGAGAAGGGATTGCAACATGGCCATCCTGAATGGAGGATGATTTCTCACTTTTCCTCTTGCTGTTTCTATCTTTCTCTCTCTCCAGTGAGTGCCCACACCCTAAGGCAAAAACCTCTTCAAAAAAAGGAAAATTAATCTGGGCATGTGTCTTCCTTGTACCATAGAGTAAATTCATCCACCCACACACCCTAAAATATAAATCCTCTGAGTATATATGAAATGGGGGGGGAAATCATTTCTTTTATAAGCTGAAAATATGTCAAGTCCCTGCAGACGTGAACGTCAAAAGTATGGTGTCCTCAAATGATGATTAGGGCACATAAAAAAGTAGAACTGTTACACATAACTCAATGGTACAAAAGAAAAGTAATCTCCATTTCTTTTTCTTTGACTTCAAGGATCCATATTATTCTAAAATCAATGAAAAGCTGCTATATTAAAAAAATAAGGTTGTATGGACCAGTATGTGTCTGTACTTGTATACAGTAGTGCTTCCATAAAACAAATTAGCAATTAGAAAACCGGTATTTGGTGACACAATTCAGTTCAAATCATATACCTATTTTGTACACCTTCTATGTATCAGGCATAGTATTTGGTGTCAGGATAAATAAATCTCGAGGAACTCAGATGGAGACCAAAGCAAACAAACAGAAAGAAGGGATATGCTGAATCTAATGTGGTGAATCCTATAAAAGTGACAGATACTTGTGTTCTAAATAGTACAGCAGGCAGTTCCCGCTCCTCCAACAAGATATGCCT